GTCTGTCATCACCAAGATTGTCTCAACTCGGGAACTTAGATACGAGAGGGGAATGTCATAAGTTGAGCACCCCACTCGCCCAATCAAAGATCGGACTCTACTAATCATGATGTGAATCTTATTTATATTATATGCTCTTGTTCCGATTTATTAGGCTAACTTACTACGTGTTGCACACAAGTATAGACTAATTGGCAAAAATTGGAACACTTTGATGTTTGTTTTGAAAAATAAAGGTTTGAATACATATCACTTAAAAAAAAAAGTGGGCTCATATGTACATTCATCAACTTATCCCAATTTGAACAACTAGCCTTCATCCACAAGCATTCAGACATATATAGCACTTAGCCTGATAGTAATCATGCTTGACACGGCAACAATCACATTTATGCAATATGCTAAAGCAATAGAGCTTAGCCCAATTCTTGAGGCGAGCCAAAACAGAGAAAATAGTTAGAAAAATACATGATCCTAACTAGTAAAATATGACTAATGCAACATATGCAATATGCAATTAATAGGCTTGGCTACTAATATGGCATTTGAAACAACTTGATAGCATACAGTTTCAACACGTTTTCAATGAAGTATGTAAACTACAATACTTTGTTAGAATGATGAGCCGAACCTCATGCATGCAAAACAAATGGATGCAAACATAGGAAATGTTAAAAGAAATATGATGTTCTAAGCTACCCATCATAAGCGAGTAAATAAAAGGGAGAAAGACGTGGGGTTGGAAGACATACACATTATTATATATTGGCCCTCGCACAAGAGGGTCCAAATGAATGCCCTAACTAATTACTACGAATTAACAAATCTATTACAACCCAAATGAAATAAATTAACTATACTAGCTAATTATTACTACACCATAAATTAACTAACTACTTTAGCTAATTAATTAGATACAACACAACTAACTAGCTATTCTAACTAAACAAACTAATTAGTTACAAGTCTGCTACTTTAAGTATAACATACTACTATTACAACATTATTTTAACGGATCTCGAGAATCGAGGGATGGTTTATGCATGGATACTCCGAAAATGTTATCCGTTTTGCTACCGGAATGCTTCTATTGCACAGTCAGGAGATTGCACTGTTTTTTCACCTCAGTTTCCACCATGTTCTGCAGGAAACAGTACACTGCCTTGTTGGAAAAAGTGGCCAGCAGGCCAGAAGTAGTGGTCGGCCGGCAACTAATAGTGGCCTGCCGGCCATTGATTTTGGATTTCTCCTGCTGCAATAGAAAATAAACAGAACACAAACAGAGCATTATCAGGGGATGTTTGTCCACTCTGTCTTTCTTTATCATCAAACAGCTCAAAGGAGAGGTAGGCTTGATTCGCAAACCATCAATCGATGCAATTTCATTGCGTGATGACTTATGAACCAATGGATGTAATTTCGATAAATGCACAATAAAAGACTCTCAAAACCTCCTCCCCTATCATGGATTGATCAAGGAAAATGGTTGACATTGATTCTTGAACCGTGCTCATCATTAACAAGTATGAAACGACTCAAGACTCAATAGATTCAATTAACGTCCGATTGAACCCAAACCATTTTATTATCTTGTTTCATTTTTCAAACCATTGAGTACCCCTTCTTAAATTATCTTCCATTCATTAGTCAATTAAGTCCAATAATGAACTTTAAGTCCATTAAAGGAGGGAAGTACCAAACCAAATGTTTTTTTAGGCATGAGAGGGAGATTGGGCCGTTAGCAATGAACCCCCAAAGGGATTAAACCATTAAGCACAATATCATCCTTCAAACTTAAACAACACTCCTTTTGGAGCAACTCTCAAAACAAAAAGAAAAAGTCAAGAAATGAGGGAGATTGCAAAGATGCTTAGAGGTGAACACAAGTATGGAAAGCAAGAAATAAATGCTATCAACTCAAATAGGTTGGTAGCTAAGGCCTAGACTACCAAGCCTATGAGGACCATTATACTACAAGCACGCAATACAAAGCATAAATGGAACTAATACATAAAAACAGTCCTAAGTTAGCTCAAAATAATGCTGGAATTGAGGTAAAAATAGCTAAATGAGTAAGCTAAAACAATAGAGAATTTAAACTAGGTAACAAATCAAAGGAGGGGTGGCTAACCCTTCCATTTTTGGGACTTCAAAACCATATTTTTAGCCTCTAAAAACCTCTGAAAATCAGTGGTAAAAAGCTCAAAAAAAAGTTGAGGAAGAGATGGGAAACACAAGTGTAAAAGCTTAGGAGATAAGGTTCAAAGAATGGTGATTAACCCCTCTACCTTTAATAGCCTTAAATCACAAGTTTCAACCCATAAAAATAGTTAAAAAAAACAGTAAGCCTCTGAAAATCAGTGGTAAAAAGCTCAAAAAAAAGTTGAGGAAGAGATGGGAAACACAAGTGTAAAAGCTTAGGAGATAAGGTTCAAAGAATGGTGATTAACCCCTCTACCAAACGGGGCCTTAAATCACAAGTTTCAACCCATAAAAATAGTTAAAAAAAACAGTAAGAAAATATAGGAAAGAAGTAGTGTAGAGATGCCCAAAATTATACCTCTTGAAGCAAGGTAACTCTTTTGTTAACAAACCCACAGTTCTCACTCTCAAGAGTTGAGATTTGAGCTCAAGAACCTCAGCAAAAGGAGCTAAATTTTTGGATTAGGAAGTGTAGAGAGAGATTGTGCAGATTACAAGATAGAGAGAGAGAGAGAGTGCTATGCAAGTTATTGTCTAAGAATTTTTTTCTAATCTAATTTCAAGAGGGGTGGTCAAGTATATATAAAAAACATGTTACTCAGTCAAAAATATTTGTAGAGGAGAAACTAGTGCCGTGCATGCACCTGTGGGGGACAGCTGGCACAAATATCTGCAAAAATCTATTTTTTGACACCAGTGGCTGGCAGGCCACTAAAAAGGGGCAGCAAGCCACTAGTGGCCGGCCAGACAAAAATCTGTTTCAAGCCCGATTTCAAATGGGCATATCTCCTTCATCCAGACTTGGTTTTAAGTCATTCTTGAGTCTAAATTGAAGTCCCGGAAGTATACTTTCCAATGATGGTGGCCTCACATCTAAATTCTAAGTGTACAAAGAGTTATGCCTAGTTTAGTGAAGGCTGCTCATTTCTATCCTAACGGATTGATGCCCAACTTTTTTCCCAACTAGTTTTCTTCCCTCCCTTCCTATTTCCTTCAACTTCAAACCTATAAATAAGATGTTTTTAAAGATTTTCAAAGAGTTCACATTTTTTTCATTTATTTCCACTTTGTCCTTACTTGGTTTATCGAAAAGTGCAATGTTTTAAATAAAATGCGAGCCTCGGAACATCGTAGAAACATTTGGAAAAATATTTTGAAAAAGTGGGTTTTAAGATCTAAAATGGTTTTGGTCAAAAATGGGGTGTAAGGTTGGGATTTAGAAGTTCTTCTTGCTAAAGAAATCGAACGTTTGTACAACGTAACTTTCATCATCGAATGATCAACTTGAAACGCCCAAGTCTTAAGAGCTGTCAAAAATAGAATGTCTACAGCTACCCACTCCATCATTTGAGTTGTTTATGATGGATCCTATTTGCATCTGATCGCCTCTCCGTTTGGAAATGACTTGAAAATCCCATTTGGAATCAAAATGTGAGTTGAAAAAATGGGAGCATGATAATTACCCTAATTTTATGGGGGCTTAATTAAATGAGAAGAATTGAGACGCAAGAAGACACAATCATCTACCTAACCATTATTACAAGCACCATACTCTTTTTTCCTTGCACGTGATTTCCTTCCTGGAATTACTGGGAAGAAATTCATAGAGAGAGAGAGTCTAAATATATGACCATGAGAGAGAAATATATGATGTTGCACCACCAAAGTCATGTAAATCATAATAACCCATTTGAAACTAAAAGAAAGCTCCTGTTCACTGCTTTTTCTACCTCAATTCTTCATTGCTACATTATGCTGCTGAGTACAATAATGATAAGTAATCCGAAAATAATTAAAAAAAAAATTTAATTTAAAATGTGTGGGTTGTATTCAAATTAGATATAGGTTATAATTCACGTTACACTAAATGATATTTTTACAATTAATAGTCATCCTACAAATTCTTTATTTTGAAGTGATAGAAGCCCACAGTATATAACCACATCATTTTATACAAACTTATATTTTTTATTTTGAATATTTTGAAAAGTTAGGATGGTGAATCAAAATCAAAATCAAATCCAAATTTGGTAACCCTGCGCATGTATGCGTGTCTTTTTCCAATTTGTTGCTATGTGCTAGGGTTTGTTAGGCACATGCCAGAGCTCCAGCCCTGCCGAGATCTAGGCCATCAGAGTTTGTATTTATTCTAAACCTTATGCTACAAATTGGAGAGCCCAATGAACCATTAAACACCCCCAAGAAAGGTTGGAGCTAAGCTCGCATCCCCAATAAATTTAACAAGTTCAAGAATGAGATGGCTAAGGAGTTTGTTTGGTATTGTTCTTAAAAAGCGACATGTCTTTTAAAAATAAAAATAAAAATTGCTAATAGTTTTTAGTAATAGTTTGTCATATAATTTTTATGATTTTTATATTTTGATCCATGTAACTTTAATTGTATTAATTTTCTATTTAATTATTCACATTATATCATTTAGTTCAATCAATAACATCTGTTAAGAATATTAATAAAAATTAAAGAGAAAATGATTTATTCAAAAGGAATAGATCATTTCAAATTAAAAGTCAAATCCCTCAATCACTTTTTGATTATGAACCCCTTGATATAAATTCAATTTTTCAAAGAACGTTATCAATTTAATTAAATTGAAACACTATGAAGATTTAAAAGACAAATTTGATACGATTAAAATTACATAGACCGCATATTGAAACAAGAGGCAAATTACGATCGTTACGTATCCAAATAAAAATAAAAAATGATAACAAACCTGGTATGGTTCAGACATGTATTTCATTATGAAGTGAAGGAGCAACCAAAATTGTACACCAATAGAGGCCCAAAATGTCCAATTCATGCATAGATTTTCTTGAGAAATACATGGTACATTAACACTCTATAAAAGAAAATAAAAATATACATGGGCAGCAAAAATCTTTTCCAAGGAAAGATCACAAGCTGTACACAGAGTTATACATTTGACAAAACAGAGCACAATTAAGAAAACAAAAATGTAACCTACATCACTAAATGGTAGATTGATTAGGAGGATTTCTCACACAAGCCAGACCATTTCAAACAACTGAAAATAATAAAAAAAAATAAAAAAAAAACTATAAATAAAAATTATTGAGTGACAAGAAAAGAAAAAATGGCAAAACAGAGCAGTCAATCACCTTGATCATCATGTTATATATTATCTATCATCTCTTCCAACTTCGACTCCTTGATAATGGATCTCTCACACCACCAACAACCCAAGTTTCCTTTGCAATATCAGATGATAATTTGTAGAAATCAGTGTCACATCTCATCAGCACTGCCAAGCTCTTACTATTCTTCTCTTCCTCCATACCCAACTTTCCTTTCTTTTCTACTTCCTCTTCTCTCTCTTCACTCTCATCTTCTTCTTCTTTTCTCTCTTCTAACCAGGTTTTAGCAGGAGCAGACCTACAACGCATGAGCAACAGAGCATTTGGGGGTGGAGCAACAGTCTCTTCTTTATCGGATTCGTTTATCTCTTTACTCTGTTCTTTGGTACACTCATTCTTTAATTTGTTTTGATCTTCTTGTAGAACCATGAACCATTTAGAGAAGACAGTTCTTGAACTCTCATTCTCATTGCTGACTTGGTTTTGTGAACAATCTTCTTCTTCATCATTGTCATCATCTTCATCATCAGAGGTTATGTCCGAAGCAGGGAATGTGCCGAAGCATCGAAAATCAAAGCGAATTCTCCGTAAACAAGTCAAGAAATGCATTACATCTTTCTTGATTCCGAGAGCTTCGACCCAATTGGCTCTCTTCTTTTGTTTTCTATCATTGTGAAGCCTTTCAATCTCTTCCATAACTGATTGCCAATTCTTGCAAGAACTGGCTGATTTGGGCCTCACTTTGATCTGTCCGGCGCAGGTAACTTTGGGTGATGTGGGTTCAGATATGTCTGAGCCCATGGACTTGGTTTTAGCCCATAAGAGAGGGCTGGCTTGGACTCCACCACCACCACCACCTCCTCTGCTGTTGCTTGACCTTTTCAAGTGGTGGTGGTGGTGGAGGTGGTGACGCTTGTTGGATTCAGATGGTCTTGCAGGGCTGCAGATGGGTTTGGGCATTAGGGTTAGGTGGGCTCTAGAAGGAAAACAGACCAAGAGGTCTGCAGAAGGAGGGCCTTTGTTTTCTCTGCCTTTCATGGTGTTTTCTCTCTCTCTCTCTCTCTCTCTCTCTTTTTCTTCTTGTTCTTCTCTGTCAGTGTGTGTCAATGTGTTTGATTCAGAGAATATCAGATCTTGTGCTTGTGATCTTTGGGGTTTGGGGTGTGTTTGGATTAGCTTTTTAAAAAGAAATGAAGGCTGGCTGTGTGTGTTGACAGCTTTCCTCTGCTACTTTTGTTTATGTGTGTGTTGTGTTCCTCTTTATCATCTGTATGTTAAATTTTTTCCAACTTCCTTTTTGCTGCCTTTGGACTATGGGGTCACAAGAGAGTGCTTCTTTCTAGGCCTCTACTTTTTTGTTTTCTTTGGTTTTTTAATTACCTTGCCAAACAAAATTAAAATAAAGAAAGAAAGATGAAAAAGTTGAGGCCCAGCTGCCCACATTCATTGTTTCATGATCCAATGATGTCCTCAACTTGTGAGCCCATATGACAGTTATGCCATGGTGATGGTGTGGTACTACAACCCAAGAGTTATCCACAACTACCAAATCACCCCCTCTTAAGGCTCACAGTGACACTCAATTGTTTTAAAGAGTTAGAATTCATTTTAGAAAAGGCTCATAGATTAGAATCAATTCATTTCTTTACGTAAAGTTAGAATCAATTTTAGAAAAGCTCATAGATTAGCTTGGTTATATATTGCACTCTGCATGATCTTAGTGAATTAATAACTTAACAATCGTGTATTTAACGGTATCACTATTTGTTAAGGATTTAAATTGATCGTTTAAATTTAAACTTAATTTGATATGAGTTTTACTTAAAATAAATTTAATTGACATATTTTAAAATTTTAAATATTTTTTTAATATCTAAAAAATATTAATGTCTTATTTTTGAAGTGAGCATGGGATAATAAAGGGAGTGATGTGATGCAATTGAGAGCACGAGGGATGGCCCCTACCCACCACTCCTCTTTGAGTTGAGACTAGACTTTAACTGCTTTTGTTTGGGACCTTCCATGAGGAGGCTCTCTACTATATTCTCTCTCCTCCCTCTTTTTATTATTTATATCATCAGGGGGTGGAGGCGGCTCAGTAGGAAGTTGGAATCAATCTTCTTTTCCAAAGTGTCTTCTTTAATTACTAGTATGACATTGTTTTTAAGTAGTGTTTATTATTAGCAATCACAAAAAATATGTAAAATTGAAAAGTTTAAGCATCAGCTATGCCTGAGAGAGCCACTTAAAAAAGATTTCTAATGTTTGCTTTTCCAGAATGGCATGTGTACTGGCTTTTTATTTTATTTTTTATCTTCAGCTGATTTGTAATTTTGTGCACAACACCAATATTCATAACATTCCCTCTCAATTACCCACCCCCATATGCTACAAAAGCTATCTTCTTAGTTTGTTCAACAATATAAAATGTTCATTGTGACACATAAATGGTAGCTCTGTTGGAATGGGCAACCATAAATTGCAGGACTTCAACTTGATTACAAATGACACCATCAAGGATCGATCGTTACCTTTTCAATGAGAGTCATCAGAGTTATAATTTAACAAGTCATTAGAGTTACGATACAGTGTGATTGAATCATAACTTTAACGCATCGTGTTGTACCTGAAAGAGATATCCATAATTGGGATTGCAAATGAATCGAATTGTTCATGAACGAACTTGGCTCAGTTTGTTAAGGGCTCGACTCGGTTCGGTTCGGTTCGGTTCGTTTAGTAAACGAGCTAAATTTGAACTCGAATATTAAGCTTGGTTAGTAAACGAGCCAAGCTCGAGCTTGCGCAAGCTCGGCTTGTTTATATTTATTTAAATTATATAATAAATATATTATTTATATATTAAATAATATATATATATATAAATAATATTTTTTTATTTAAATAATATTAAAAAAAATTATTCGAGCCGAGCCGAGCCGAGCTCGGGTTTCATTAATATTAACGAGCCGAGCCGAGCTCTAACTTAATTCCTTATTGAGTTGAGTTCGAGCTCAATAAACGAGCTGAATAAGTAAACGAGCCGAGCTCAAACTCAGCAAAACTCAGCTCGGCTCAGTTCATTTGCAACCCGACCCATAATGCGCACTAAAAGGATGCATACTAAATTTTTTTGTCTAAAACATTAAGTATTTTTGCCTAAAATATAAAGTACCATTGTAGTGCTTGAGACATGTGGGGTGTAGGGAAGATGGTTTGGAAGGGAAGTGAAGAAGCTTGAATGAGTTATAAAGCTTAAGGAGTTTACAGCTGTGGGAGGCGAGCAGAAAGTGTCCATGCCCCTATATGATTCCTTCCTATTGTCATGAGAAAGAGCACTTCCATTCTTAATTTTTTTTTCATTAAAGGGCTGTGTATATGTTTGATGACCATTCTTGTGGTTTGAGTTTTGTCAAGATTTAATTTGTTTACCATTTAAATTAATCTCAAACAATTTTTGATCAGGTCAAGTTTAAATAGTATGATTTTGATATTAATTTATTGAGTCCAGATTCAAATTGTGTATAGACTTAAATTTATTTATATTATGAATTGAGATTAAGTTGAAGGTATCAAATTTGAAGAAGGTTCTATGGAGAAAAGTTCGTCAATATGACTAGAAAAATATTGCACTCTCAACACAAGATTCAGCTCTATCTTTCTGTGCCTAATCTTTATTCCATGCATTTGTTTAGAACTAAAAAATTCTCTGGAAAAAAATATAAATAAAATACTGTTATGATTTTGTAGTGATATGCTAAATTCGGTTAACCATCTCTCTCGTTAATCTATGTAAGATTCGATTCCTCTAACCTAGATTCTCTTAGGAAAGATAGTGTTTTCTATATTAGTATTCTATTAATTTATGTTTTCTTCGACAAAAATCATGTACTTAATCTACATTGCAAAAAAGTAAAGGTATTGTTTTAGATTATTGTAGATTGCAATAATAAATCATGGTAATCCACATCCCACCAACAATGATGAATATGAATTGAAAGTCCCACAAGAATATACAATTACTTGTGTGTGTGTCAATTTCCGATGACTACACTGTTAATCAAGCACTCAGCTGAAAAATACTGGCAGAATAGATTAACCTCGAACGACCTGTTACAAAAAGAAGAGATTGAGATTCCGATGGTGGTTCGTCCACTCAGGGGCACTCTGACGATCAAGTCAGTTATCTCTCAAAGATAGCAAAAGTGCTTAACTCACTATTCAGAGCATAAAAAGCATACCTTAAACCCATGGGGTGCCTCTCTTTTATAGCCAACACTTACCTAATCCCAATAAAAACCTAACTTCAATGGACTTAGTATTATTGCTAATCTTGGACTCCTAGTAGGATTGGGATAAACTCTCTAAGAGTCTTATCTTTACCCAAATTGAAGTCCTCTCTCATTCTAGGACTCTTGTCCCTTATCCGCTTATCCCGGATTTTAGTATCTTCGTAGATAACCTCGGTATAGCCAAGATGATCTCGGCGTCATGACCAGGACACGTGGCACTTCGGCTGGCACTTCAGTGACACCTCGGCCACGTGTTGTCATTCAAAAATTATGTCCTCACAACTGCCCCTAGGTTCTATTACCTCGGCATCCTGAGGTAATGGAACCTATATCATTCCTTCCTTTAATCATGACCCCGGTTTAAATTCAGCTTGTAGATTTTTCTAAAATTTCAGCAAGTGTTAAACATGACCTCGGTTTAAGTTCAGCTTGTAAATTTTTCTTAAAATTCCAACAAGTGTTAAACATGACCTCGGTTTAACTTCAACTTGTAAATTTTTCTTAAAATTTCAACGAGTGTTAAACATGACCTCAGTTTAATTTGACCTTGGTTTAACTTCACCTTGTAATTTTTTCTTAAAATTTCAACAAGTGTTAAATATGACCTCAGTTTAACTTCAACTTGTAAATTTAAATTTCAACAAGTGTTAAACATGATATCGGTTTAACTTCAACTTGTAAATTTAAATTTCAACAAGTGTTAAACACATCATCGGTTTAACTTCAATTTGTAAATTTAAATTTCAAAAAGTGTTAAACATGACCTCGGTTTAACTTCAACTTGTAAATTTAAATTTCAACAAATGTTAAACTAATCTTAGCTTGTAAATTCCAACTCCCAAGCATCATCCTCCAGCCCTCTGTCCCCGCGTGTCTTCCTCGGCCATTGCATACTTCTCAATTTTGGCCATGAGTTCCTCCATGCTCTTTGGCAGTGTCTTTGCCAGTGATTTTCGAAGCAGACAGTCATCTTTCAGGCCGTTCTTAAAGGACACGACCACCACCTCTTGGTTGCATCCTGGTATTCGGTTGAACACCTCATAATACCTCTTGGCATAAGCCCTACGGCTTTCATCCTCCCTGATTCTTAGGGCCATCAGGGTGTCCACCCTCAACGGTTGTAGTTTGTTCGTCATAAACCTGGTCACAAATATCTCGGCCAGGCCCTCCTAGGTTTTCACAGTTCCTTTAGGCAACTTGTGAAACCAGTCTAATGCAATTTCCCCAAAGGACGAGGGGAACACCTTATAAAGCAACGGCTCGTTCTCGGTGTATAATGCCATCGAGTTCAAGTACAAGCCGACGTGAAAGTTCGAGTTCGACTTACCGTCGTATATCTGAAATCTCGGCATGTGGAACCTTTTCGGGGCCTCAAATTTGTCCAATTCTACCGAGAACGGTGTCCTCGGCTTGACCGAAGAAGTCACCTCGGCATCTTGTCGCTTTCTCTGGAGGTAATCCCTCAGATCCTCCTTGGTTTGTCTAGGAGCTCGGCTATCTCCGGATTTCAGTCTCTTTGGTGCACTGCTTCCAGTGTCGTTGTGAGTCGTTTTGGACTTCCTTCCACTGGTCGTGTCGAAATAGAGTTCCTTTCCTTGAACATCCCGATGTTCTTTGGTGCAGTCTTCTTTGGTTCGACGTGTCTTCTGGGATTCTTCCATCCTTGATTATCCATGCCCGACCTCCCGTGAAGGCCGGTAAGAATGCCCCTTTGCCTTGTCATGTTGAGGGACTACAGGAACTGTGTTTTGCCCCCCTTTCTGGGCATCTTTCTTGGTCGCTGGAATCGTCGTATCTTGTAAAGGGAACGGTGACTGCATGACGTTGTTTTGCATCATGAAATTGACGACCATTTGTAGGTTCGCCAATTTGTTTGCCATTTCCTTCATCTCGTCGTCCCTCTGCAGGTATCTATCCTTCCATACCTAGAGGTCATCCTCGTTATAATACCCGCTTCAGTCTGATTTCTTTGGCACGTCG